GGAGATATTGGATGGAAACGTGATGCAGTCCGTCACACACCTGAGGCTTGGGAGACGTTGGACCTTTCAACAGGACAATGATCCCAAGCATACCTCCAAGTCCACTAGAGAGCATGGTTGCAGAGGAAAGGCTGGAACATTTTGGAGTGGCCATCGCAGTCACCAGACTTAAATCCGATTGAGAACCTCTGGTGGGACTTAAAGAAAGCAGTTGCAGTGCGCAAGCCTAAGAATGTGACTGAACTGGAACTGGAGGCCTTTGCCCATGAAGAATGGGCGAAGATACCCGTAGATCGCTGCAAGACACTTGTGTCAAGCTATGCTTCACGTTTAAAAGCTGTTATAACTGTAAAAGGATGCTGTACTAAGTACTAAGATTGAATGTCACTTGGGGGTTGAATAAAAACTGATAATGCTGTGAGCACAGAAAAGACATTTGTGGTTATTTCATTATAACTGTTATGTTATATTTGTCTGACCTACAAGTGCCTCTTTAATGTAAATGTAAGCAAGATGACTGAATGATCAAAAGCAATGTCAAACTGGCCAAAACACTCAATTTCAGTGGGGGTTGAATAATTTTGGTCACAACTGTAACTAGTTTGGGTGTAAAAAAAACAAATAAAAATATACTATATTGCCAAAAGTATAGGGACACCCCTCCAAATCATTGGATTCAGGTGTTCCAATCACTTCCATGTCCACAGGTATATAAAATCAAGCACCTAGGCATGCAAACTGCTTCTACAAACATTTGTGAAAGAACTGGTCGCTCTCATGAATTTAGTGAATTCACTTGTGGTACCGTGATAGGTTGCCACCTGTACCATAAGTCCATCCATGAAATTTCCTTGCTGCTAAATATTCCGCGGTCAACTGTTAGTGGTATTATAACAAAGTGGAAGCAACTGGGAACAGCAGCAACTCAGCCATGTGGTAGGCCACGTAAAATGACAGAGCAGGGTCAGCGCACGCTGAAGCGCACAGTGCACAGAAGTTGCCAACTGTCTGCAATGCAAAGCGTTGGATGAAGTGGTGTAAAGCATGCCACCACTGGACACTACAGCAGTTAAGATATGTTCTCTGGAGTGATGAATCACGATTCTGTCTGGCAATCCGATGGATGTGTCTGGGTTTGGCGGTTGCCAGGAGAATGGTACTCTCCTGACTGCATTGTGCCAAGTGTAAAGTTTGGTGGAGGGGGGATTATAGTGTGGGGTTGCTTTTCAGCGGTTAGGCTTGGCTCCTTAGTTCCAGGGAAGGGAACTCTTAAAGGGTCAGAATGCCAAGACATTTTGGACAATTTCCTGCTCCCAACTTTGTGGATGGCCCCTTTCTGTTCCAACATGACTGTGCACCAGTGCACAAAGCAAGGTCCATAAAGACATGGATGAGCGAATTTGGGGTGGAGGAACTTGACTGGCTCACACAGAGTCCTGAGGTGTTATAGGTGCAAAGGATGGGCCAACTCAATATTGAACCCTACGGACTAAGACTGGGATGCCATTAAAGGTCATGTGCGTGTAAAGGCGGGCGTCCCAATACTTTTGGCAATATAGTGCATATGCAGCTAAGAGACATGTAGGAAATTGGTTTTAAAAGGTGTATTAACAAAAACATTTTGTGGTGCCTAGATATGTTTCGTTATGAATCGAAATTCAGACACAATGCTGTTATTCAGAGATTCAGATGTATCCAAATTTCCAAATTACAATAGTAACTAAATATAAATGCGTATATATAATATCAGTGCTGCACTACACAGTAATAATCACATATTAAAGTGAAAAAATTTAAAGTGAAACAAATCCATAAACCAGAAGGATTGATACAAAAAATAATAAATAAAAATGAATAATAAAAAAAGTCCAAATAAATTCTTCTTTGAACAATCCTTCTTTTTGTGACCACCAGATGCAACTGCCACGGAAATAGGTGCACTAATTCCTCCATCCAATATCTGCTCACCTCCAGCAGTGTGACCTCACATCACACAATGTTTGGTCTAACTGTACTTTTGGTCCCAATAATACAGATTCTGACTATCAACTTGATGAATGGCAGCTCCAAAACACTCCCTTCAACAGACACTTTAGATCAGCAGTATTCCTCATAAACAAAAACTAAACATAGTACTTTATCCTTTTAAAAGCTTTATTTGCACAACGATTAACACTTATGCACTCACATTTGACAGGTGCTAAACCGCACCAGGTATGACAAGCATCCATTGAAAACTCCTCAGACACCAGATAGCAGTAATTATCCCCGTCAGCACAGCCAGTACAAAAGATAGACGCTCCAACCAGTAAAAGACTACGATAATAGGCAATAGCGGGCCCTTTATACAATCACAATTGCCTTACAGTCAGGAGAGTCCTGGAGCAGTGTGTATCTCTGTATACCGCTGAGCCGATCGTAACTACGTCGTGACATCATCCACAGGCTCCTTCCCTTAGGAGGGTGACGTCATGACGTAGTTACGTTTTCTTTTTCTCTTTCTCTCTCTTTTGCCTTGCCCAGGGTACTTACAAACAATGCTACACCACTGCACGCACGCTTTTGCTCTTGCTCTTGCTCTTGCTCTCTCTCCTTTTCCTTTCTCTCTCCATCTTTGTATTTCTCTCTGTATCTCTCTTAATCTCTTTCTTTTTCTCTTTTTGTCTTTCTTTTTTCTCTTTTTCTTTTTCTTTCTGTCTTTCTCTTGTTAGGTGTGCAAATTACACGCCCTGCTTCAGGCACTGACAAAAAAAATTACGCCACTGCACACACACACACATATTATGTATTAAAAAACAGCTGAGGTGCACATCCTACGTACCAGTTAGATACAACTCTAAAGAGTCACCACACTCCAAAAGGTTCTTATATCACAATTCTGTTTGTCATTGCGTAATCATCATAAACCTCACTGGTAAAGTTTTGGAATATAATGACTCTTTGGAGCTGCATGTACTTTATAGTATATAAATATTGTATATGCCAATGCTTAAATGCTTTAACTTTTTGGAATGGTTTTCTTTTAAATAAAAGTCTTTGATTTTTCGGAATTCATAAAAATATTCCTTTCACGAATTCACACATAAAGTGACTCTCGGCTACAAAATTTCACATATTTCAGATGTCTCCAGGGAGAGCTCCCAGAGGCTTCACATTTTACAGTAATGTGTGAAAAAGAAGCTTGTTAATAAAACTGACAAAACTTTGTGAGAAATCATCACCAAAGCTTGTTGATTTTACAAAGAGAACTCATTATTTTGTTCCAAAAGTATTAATGCAATCTGAACGACATCGTATTCATTTCTGTGTCACATATACTTGGGGGTTGGGGAGTCTGAAGGCTTGAGACAATAGAAGGATGGTGGAGGCAACAAATAAGACAGGGTGCTTAGTGAGAATTTATTTGCTTTCCCCCCATCCTCCTTTTCATTGCCCCATATATCTCAAAAATGCCCTTTGCATGTTCCTCCCCCTTCTTTGTACATATCTGTAATGTTATAAAATATTCACACCATCTTCTGAACATCATTGTGTTGTACAAGGCTAAATTATTTCATTTTAATTCAGTAACGCCTACAAAATTCAAAACTGTAACAAAAAAATAAAGAGTGTAACCATAAATTACTATATTAATTAAATCAGAAAGTAGGCATAAAAAAATAATGTAACATTTATTTCAAACTTATTAAGCGTCATCTGAAATATTTTAAAGGTACAATCTGGTCAAACCTTAATACATACAAGGAGCGCACCCTACTTCAGACTTTCATCCAGGAATTGTTGTAGTATACCAGTCCACCACACTCCCTTTTGTTTGCAATTTGGTGATCCTGAAATGAGCCTGATGCTGGAACACCCACTGCAAGCTCATTGCTGCTCTCCAGTGAGCTTGCAATGAGTGTTCCAGCATCACAAACACAAGAGCACAAGCACAAAAACATATATTAAAAATTGCCATTATTAAGATTTTTTTGTAAAACAAAAAAAGAAGCCCTTTTTTTTACTGTTTTATTTATCTTGGAAGTCTTAATGTAATTAACGATGCAAGATACATTATAATAATTATAATTATTAACATAATATATTATTATTATTATGCTTTTGACCTGCTGTTGCATAACATAAGTCTAGGGCTTTTTTCAGCGGGAACACAGGAGAAAGCACCTCCAGCACTGAATATAGCTAATAACAAGGGGTGCTGAGCTGGAAGGTCTATTGATGCTGGCCACTGGGGGATCTATTGTCACTGGAGGGGATTTATTTTTGCATGGTGGTCTATTATTGCAGGGGAGGTCTATTGTTGCTTGTGGGGGATCTATTGTTGTTGGAAGGGATCCACTGTTACTGGCTGCTGGACAGTCTTGCTGGAAGGTGGGTAGGGGTGGAACCAAGGGACTGTGCTCAGAGATGGGTGGGGGTGGAGACAAAAAGTGATTCAGAAGGGGGAGTTCCTGCACCTATTCTCTGAGAAAAAAAATCCCTGTATAGGTCCATCTGTTTTGGTGAGTTTTAGGCTGTCCAGGGAAGTATCATGATTGGTGTGGAGGAATTTAGTCACTAATATGGAATGGAGCATTCATATGGATTTTAAGAGGAGCACCTTTATGAACTTTGCTTTCCATTATGAATAGGATTACACTTATGAACTTACGGTGAAATGGATACTGAAATGCACTTTATTGATTGATTGCACACAAATGTTTTTTTATTTATATTCTTTAAGTATTTTTATTGTGTTTAGTATATCATTGCATAGGTTTATTATAGCAATATCACGTCTTCTATGGAGCAAAATTAGTGCATCCTTCCATGTAGTTTTTTTTTCACTTAGTGGTTTTACACATAGTTTATGCAGCAAGCTTCTTTTGTATTCATGCACTTCAGCTATTTAGAATTTGGCTTAGTGCTGTTTCACATTTCTAAACTAGAGCAAGAATGCCTAGTCCATGGTCCTGCTTATCAGTGTCTTCTGGTTTCCATAATAACATAGCCTGCACCTGGCTACAGTAGTATGCAGGGGCGGACTGACCATTTGGAAACTCAGGCACTGCCCGAGGGCCCGGGGTCAGTAGGGGGCCCCATGAGATGCCCCTGGTACCTTTTTCATAGGCTTTTATGAGTTTGGGCAAGGACACAGGGGCTCCATGATCCCCTATTGCCCGGGGGGCCCATGAGTTGTCAGTCCGCCCCTGGTAGTATGTATTGTTGTTCAAGGCAATGACATAAAACTCAGATTAAGGGAACTGAGTGAATTTCTAACTGCATTTACTCATTAGATGCCTTCACTTGTTACCTGGACTTAATATTTAATATTAAACAGAACAAACAAACAATTATATTCTGAGCTAGAGACTAAATAATATATTTTCATCTTCAGGGAATTGCTTTAACATTCAGCTGTGTTGATTGTCATCAAACGTCTATTAATGGGAAGGTCATAGTACTTCCCATTGGTCCAGGGAACAGGACATTTTGTTGCAGGAGATGAGTCTGTTCTTTTCAGTGAACAATCCTGAGTACAGTTCCCTTTATTTAAACCTTGCTAAATTTAAAATTCCTCCCCTCATAAAGAAAAACTTGGCTAAATAAGGTTTGAACACTCCTTCTGCAGTTTGTAATAGGATAGTATTATACTTCAAATATTCTAATGCTGAAAGAAATGTCGCTCCTTGACAATGAAACAAAGACCACTCATTTTATAACAAGCCCTTACCCGTAGATTACATTCTTTCCAAAAATCTAAGCACTGTTAGCTAAAACTATAAGCACCATCAAATGTGACCACAATACATTATGAATTCAACAAATGGCAGTGGGCATTGTGTGGAATGTTCGCTCTCTTGAAAATACACATTCATGCAGGGAATTTTGTTCATTAAAAATAAATATTAATTGTATTAAAAGCAATGAATGTACCGCCTTGTCGTTTTAGTAACCTCTTGCAATCTCCTACACAGCAGAGCTCAGACTGAATGAGGGAGAAGCAGCCCAGAACCCAGAGTTCAGCTTTAAAAATTTAAAATGGCTGACAAGCTCACTTCAAAGTTCTTAAAGTAGAAGCTCAGCATAGCACAGTATTAATTTTTTTGCAAAAGAAATATAGTAGGGTTTCCACATAGAGTGATGGCAGTGGGCATTGGCATTATAAAATATAAGTGCTTTCTATCTCAGATAGAGCAGCAAGTGAAAGGCAGTCATAATCCTGTACACTGCTGGCTAAGGGGAGATGCAGTTCTGATAGTACACTCCTTATTACCTCTATTAAAGACCTCAAGGCTCATGAAATTGCTTACAAGCTTTGTAAACTGAGTATCAAAAAGGCACTAATAATATACACAGGGGCAGCAGATTATGAGTAGATTAATATCAGGAGAAAACATTTAATTAAGGATTGGTGTTCCTTGAACAGTTTGTAGTAAAGGCTCCCAAACATACAAATTCTGGCCAACTGTACTGTATACGGCATCCAGTTCATATCATATGACCTCTACCCAAATGCATGATATATTTTTCAGGAAATGGAAATTTTGGAAAATATGAAATAATTGTATCTATCTGATTCACTTATCATCACGTACATACCACCTGGGCACACAATACCCTACTGCAGAAAAAGACATTGATGTTATTATGTCAATTAATATTATTATTATTCAGGATTATACGGTTTGTTCAGCGCTTTAAAACATGAGGGTAGACAGAACAAATAAAATAAAATTCAATACTGGAGGAACCAGAGGGTCCTACTTGTTAGAGGATAGGCTTCTCTGAAGAGAAGGGTTTTCAGGGATCACCTAAAAGTGGACAGAGTAGGAGGTAGTCAGACAGATTGGAGTAGGGAGTTCCATAGGATGGGAAAAACAAGGGAAAGTCTTGGAGGCGAGCATGAGAGGAGGTAACAAGGGAGCTAGAGAGCAGGAGGTCTTGGGAGGAACAAAGAGAATGATTTGGTTGGTATTCTGAGAGTTTAGTATTATAGCTGGGGGAGGGTTGTGGATGGCTTTGTAAGTTGTTGTTAGTATTTTGAATTTTACAGTATTTGTTGGGTAAGTGGATACCAATGGAAGGATTGGCAAAGAGGGGTAGAAGACACTGAACGGTTGGCAAGGTGGATGAGTCTGGCAGCAACATTCATGATGGACTGAATGGAGGATAGCCTATGTAAAGGTAATCCAATAAGGAGGGAGTTGCTGTAGTCAAGCTGAGAGATGACCAGGCAGTGAATTAGAAGCTTTGTGGTATCATTGCTTAAGAAGGGCATATTTTGGTGATGTTGCAGAAGTTGAGGTAGCAAAATTTGGAAAAACTATTTTCTCTGAAGTATTCAGGCCCATTGGCTGAGGGCCCCAGGAAGTCACCAGAGCAGCCGGAAGACAGCTTCAAAGAAAGAGATTGGCTTTAAAGAAGAACTGATATAACACACACAACCAAAACCATGTAATGCATAGTTAAAAAATGACCTTTCCATTTCAATCTACAGATACTGTAGCTTTCTAAAACAGTGAAAAAAATTCAAAGGTCACATTATTGCAATATGATAACCTGGAGGCATATTGTACATCTGTGATATATAGCATGCCCCTGGAAATCTCTTTTCTTGCTTCTGTGATTGGCTCCCTGCTTTACTCAGCATTCAGATACAAGTCATATTTCAGGCAACAGCAAAAAGAGTTTTGGTGACATGCTCACTAACACTCATCAACTGCAAATACTACGCTTTTCTCATTACCAAATTAAGATTGCTCAAATGCTAATAACAAAGGCTCTTTTTCTGCAAAAAGGTTCACTTCATCCTGTTCCTAGAGTGGATTATTAATTAGAGCTACAGATTAAATAATATGTAAACCCAACATTTCATGTTCCTGATATGTGCCTACTGTACCATGTACTTGTACGAAAAAGTATCCTGTTCCCTTTGTATTGCTTCCTCTGTGTGAAATCCCTGGTGATCCTGCCAGTTCCTCTGCTTTCCTATTAAATACTGACTACACTAGGCATGAGAGCACAGCGTGGTCAGTTCTCTAGTTGTGCTGGGAACTCAGTGTGCTCTCCTCCAATGATCAGACTTGTCCTGACATGCCCTCCCCTCCCCTAACACAGCCACTCACTGGGAAGACCAATGTACTGCTGTTTCTCTACCCTCTCTATGCAGTTGCGAACAGAGGGTATGTTATTACTTATAAAATGGGAAAGAAAGGTATTTAAAATGGGTTTCTCTTTATATGTACACACAAATGTTTTACCTTTCATTTCTTTTTTTAAACTGTGTGGGTTGTTTTACAAGGTTAGAGTTTTACATATACTTTAATTTTTCTTCATTTTTATTCCCAGTGTGATGGGTTTTTTAATTGGGTAGTCACTTTTTAGAAGACAAATGAAATACATATAATGGTATTTTATGATTTTTAAATGTTAAACCTCTTCTTTCATTTATGTAAGAGCACATAAATATTTGAATTAAAAAAAAATCAATGTAATGTCGATCCTTGATTTTTCAGATTAAGCAGTCTATTCTGGTAAACAGTGTGCAAATATTCTGCTTCTCTCCACTATTCTGTTGTACAGCTCTTCTTAGTAATAGAAGCCGTTACATCATCACATCATATGCGCTTTTGCTTCTGCCCGTATGTCTGCTGTCACTGTTCTGAAATATTCAGCACCATAGTGACCAGATTTATGTTACTATTTTTTTACAGCAGAAACACATGTTGAGCAGGGGGGGGGAGGTTGTTGCTTCTGACAAATTCCTGAAATTAGATACAAGAAAAAGCTAGTGTATAACCTTTGCTCATTTATATACTACACACTGTGCTGTTTTCATTACTGCACAGTAGAAAAATAACTATACCGTTGATGCTCAGAGACAAGGTTATATGGCCAAAGGAAATGTCAGGCTGAGTATACGTGGACGTTCTTCAATGTGGTAGTGACAGTATGCACTTAGCTGCATCACCATAGCATAGGAAAGGTTAAATGAATGCTAATGGCAGTGTTAACTGAAGCCTACCGGGAGCAAGACGGTGGTGTATGGCTGTAGCTATGGTTTCTCTGAGTGCCAGATGGCAGGTACAATAAACTGTCCCTAAAAAATCAAAAACAGAGAATACTAGATAGTGAAAATAGTCTCTTTAATAAGGCATTTTGCCCTTCAGCAGAGCAGAGGGAGCAGCAGTTTTGAAGAGATTTAAATTGGAAAGAGTACTAGTATTCGTGTTAACTTAATTCCCGCGGACCTGGCACATTGATGAAGTGGAAGACGGTCAAAGACACATGGAAGTGACAGCAGGGCCGTAGCATTAGCAGCACTTGGGGTCTGTAGACCCCTATCTTTTCTTTAAGGGCATTGTGACAGTTGTCCCCAGAGTATCTTGTAGAAAATGTAACAAGGTGTTAAGGTGGAACAAAACCCTCCCATCATCCTTTACTGTCAACCTAGTTGCCATGAAAGCCCCCATTTGATCTACAGTTGCCAAAGTGCTGCTCATTATGACACCGGCCATTTGATGGTCTTACAGTTAGGTTGAGAGCACAGGCATCTGCGGCAATTATCATTCACTGCATGTCTTAAATGTAACTGTTTTAGGAAAAAGTGAAAAATTGATGGGTTTACATAGAAACATAGAAAAGTGATAGCAGGAAAAAGACCAAAATACTAACTGGTCGATCGAGTCCTAGGGTTGCCACCTCATCCCTTTAAAACTGAACACATATTAATTGCGTTTGCGTTGCGTAATTGCGTGAGTTTAATTACCACCTTAATTAGCCACAGGACACGCCTATTTAATATGTGTTCGGTTTTAAAGGGATAAGGTGGCAACCCTAAGTCTTCCCCATTTTTCAATAATTGATGAAGTGAAAGATGGTCAAAAAACATCGAATTGACAGCAGGTCCATAGCATCAGCAGCACTTGGTATCTGCAGACCCCTATCTTTTCCTTGAGGGCATTGTGACAGTTGTTCCCAGGGTATCTTGTAGTAAATGTAACAAGGTGTTAAAGTGGAACTAAACCCTCCCATCCTTTACTGCCAACCTAGTTGCCATTAAGCCCCCATTTGATCTGCAGTTGTCAAAGTGCTACACATGTGATCAGTTATGACACCAGCCATTTGATGGTTTTACAGTTGAGCTGACAGCACAGGCAACTGTGGTATTTTTATCATTCATGGCATGACTTAAATGTAACATTTTTAG